TTTCAATACTGCAATAATCTTCATAGGGCGTTTTCGGCATTATTATCTATTATGTCACGAATTTGAAAATAATTTATAAAACCCTTATTTTGCCATTGCTTGACTATGCGGATATTGTATGCGGTTCCTCTTCTCTGAAATATACCAATCAATTACAGAAGCTGCAAAATAGGGCAATTCGAATTATTCTTAGAGTAAATCCCTATCGACATCACGAAATTCATCAAGTGATTGGCTTTGATACAATGACGAAGAAAAAAACACGTGACTCTCGCCCACGTCCTATATAGAAAGACACATTGATTAACCTAAATTTTACATGTTTTCTGGTGGGATTATCCTCGAATAAGAAATACACTGTGTGCTAAAATATAGGTTAGCATAGCCAAAGAGTCATTATCAAGCTGGTCTAATTCCATTGAAGCTTTTCACAGGCGCATAAATGGAACGTATAATGATGCTTATGCTCTATACAAGAACAAGATGTTATAATAATAATAATGGGAGGGGGGGGGGGCGCAAATACCATTCCAAAGGAAGTTTTCCATTAATCATAGTACTAGTAGACACATAGTATCAATTGATATAATTTACCATTACGAATGGTAATATTGTTATTACTGGGGTGGGCCAACTTTATATGAAGGGACATTAACCATATCCAAATATTTTACAATGATAATGTGGGATATAGGGCCATGATAGATGGCCATTTCGATGGGTATTATAAAAGTGTGGAAAGAAAATGAAAGAAACAAAGATAAAAAAAAAAATGGGTGGTGGAACTATGAGTGGGCTTGTAAACAAAACGAATTACATCACCTTATGTTATGTTTGATAGGAAATATCAGAAAATGATAATGGTCATTTCAATCGTTCTTTTCTTGTGAGTATCATTTTGTTTTGTGGCCAATTTGTATAAAATAATTCATGGTATAGGTATTATGATCCTATTCATGAAGCCTCCTTATCATGCGTATCGATGTATGGATTGATGTGAAGAAGATCGAATGATCAATCGCTACAAGCTAAATTTTAACTTCTTCTTCTTCTTTATTTTTGTTTTGAATGTTTCCCTTTCTCGGCAATTCGTTGTTGTTGCGTCGCAATGTCATTGTGTTTCTTCTCCTCTTCTTTTCATCTTCGTTGTCTCCGTTTTTTCTTCCTATATTCGACCGCGTCCTTTTCTTTATTTTCTACTAACCATGACTCAGACGCTGAAATTAGTGGTCATATATATATTTCCTGCATCTTCAAAAGTGTATAATTCCGAGTTGCAATCTAAACCAAGAAAGATTGCTATCTGATTTAAACCTCGATCGCTCGTGTTATCGCTGAAACATCTATTCACTCTTTCGGGGTTAGGCATCAACGTCATCAGGGACCACCCCCCCCCCCCACAAACACACACACACACACACACGCAACTTTCCCCTCCCTAGCTGCCCCTTCTCTCTCTCTCTCTCTCTCTCTCTCTCTCTCTCCCCTCCTTCTGCGTGTTCTTTTCTCTCTTTCCCTATTCACTTTGTCTCTCCCCTCTCTCCCTTCTCCTCTCTCTTCCCCCTCTCTCTCTCTCTCTCTCTCTGTCTCTCGCCCTTTCTCTGTCGCTATCTTCTCATCTCTTTACCTGCCCGTTTCCTTTCCCTTTTCCCACTCCCTTTTTGTCTCCTTCTCTCCTTCTCTACCCCCTCTCTCTCCCTCCCTGTCTCCCCCCCCCCCTTTCCCCCATCGCTCTCCTCATTCCCCCCTTTCTAGCTACCCTCTACTCTCCCGTGTCACTATCTTCCCATCTCTTTCTCTCAACAGACTTACCCCCATTTCATATCGTTTGTATTAATTCATTTCTCCTCGTCTTGAAGAGGAAATGGGAAAGTGTCAAGAAAAGTTTTGCTTGCGCACAGGACAAAGAATGGTGTCATGATTATATCTATAGGCGATTTTGGTTGTACAGTGCTAGTTTTCGGGAAAGGAGTGAATGAGGGTAAAACAAACGAAATATAACTTTTATCGGATATCAACAGACCAACCACTGAGAGCTGATGGGGAACTTTTTTTAAGGTGCACCATGGAATCTTTTGTGTAAAAACTACATTATCACAACCTCAACCAGGATTATAACGTTTGAAGTTAATACTTTCTCGGAGTCGTATACTTTGTGATGCAAATGCACAAAATGAAATTTGTGTTTGTGTACTTTTGTGTAGTTTGTGCCATGATACCTTGGAAATCGGAGTGTGATGTTCGTTGTGACTGATTATTGATGGGATGAATGTTCACGGAAAACTAAACATCGATTTCAAGCAGGGGAAGATTATTTCAAACAGCCGTTCTTATATTAAAGTTATGCAAATCATAAAAGTGACGTTTCTGTTGGTTCGCTTCATTGTGGTTTCGCCATAAAATCGAGGGAATATAGGAGTGAGATGCTTTGTGTGGCTGATTGCCAATCGAATGGTCTTCAGGAGAATAAGCATCTATTGTTATCACTTCTCTAATAGCACGGGAAGACTAACATTTTATTCAGATGTTGAAATTCTGCAAATCATAAAATGACATTGGGGTTGGTGTGATTATTGCGGTTTTGCCCTATAACACTCTACACAAATCAGATTGTGACATTCAGTGACTATCACTGGATTAGATCATCATCGAAAGGTGGACATCTAGCTTGATCACTAATCGAAAACTCAGGAAGATGACAGCATTTTAACACTCTGACATTAAGATTATGCAAGTGATTTGACCCCCATTGTTGGTATAGTATGGGGAAGAGGTCGAGAACAAGTACCGGGTCTACATGTAAATGGACCGCTCTGTATGAAGTCAATAGCTTCAATACATATTATGAAAATTGCGATGAATCCACGGCTAGTACAGAGAGGACCGATGAGGAATATGAAGCCAATCCTGAGTTTGGTATGACGTCTAAGCATGACATGTTGCCAGGCGCGGATCCACGTAGCGATTTCTCTGGCCCGCCCCCCCTAGCCCCCCAAACGGTTAAAAAAAATAGGATAATAACGTAAATTTAACCTTTTGTTAAAAAATAAAGAACAAAAGCGGGACCCCCTGACCCCCCCCATACAAAAAAGAAGAAGTAAAAAAAGAAGAAAATTATATTTTCACCCCCTCAAAAAAAAAGTGGTTCTCCTCTCCATCACCTCCACCCCCCCCCCCCCCGCTTATTCACCGGCTTAAAGAATCGCTGCTAAATATTTTCTCACGAATTGGGGGGGGGGGGGGGAATATGTGCTCTTACCCCCCCCCCCCCTCCCGCTTATTCACCGGTCGGCTGAGTCGGCGTTGAATTTTTTCTCAAGATTTGGCCCCCTCCTGTCGCCGGCTGGATCCGCCCCTGCATGTTGCAGTGGTGGATCCGGGAATTTTATTTTAATGAGGGTTGAGGCCGTGCATGAGGGGCATGAACTATAAAGGCCAATCGCCCCCAAAAAATATTCACAAAAGACAAAAGACAATGTTTCATAAATATTGGCCGATATGCACACGAGTACATTTTGAACTCACCTTTGTTCAGATTAGTTTGACCGGGGGAGTGGGGGCCGGGGGTGGGATGCTCGCTGCGGCCTCCTGACTTCCTGAGCACCATGTGCCCCTGGATTTCATAATCATTATGAATTAGATAAACATGACATAAAAGGGCTAGAAATTATCCTTTGTTTTTGTTTGTTTTTCAAACCGCTTTGAATAGTACTTCTCCTACTTGACTTTTCACTTGAATATCAAATAGGCTCCATACTCTTTGATTAAAATATCGCTTGCTTGACAAATAAATTGTTTGTTTTCACTCACTCTATTATTTCGTGTATAGAATGTTTCCATGTCATTCCTCTAAGTAGTTGATGAAAGACTCTATGGCCCGAATTCACAAAGCAAGGTTTGAGCTCAGACCAAGGTTTGTCGTCAAACCTCCTTTTGTTTCGCCAAACCTCCTTTTGTTATTTACAAACCTGGTTTGAAAAGAGCAAATGGAGGTTTGGCGAAACAAAAGGAGGTTTGACGAAAAACCTTGGTCTGAGCTCAAACCTTGCTTTGTGAATTCGGGCCAATATGTTTCGTATCATTCTGTAAATCGCATGCAAATCGGATTTGTAACACACCTTAAGTTTCTGATAAAAACATTGGGAGAGTTCCAACTCTATAATCAGAGCCATCGATCAGTAGAGTTTGCCCAACCCAGATAGAATCGGACACAATAATAACCGCTGCTTTGTTGGGCAAGCACAAAACTGAAACCAGTTGACAAAACTCAGTGCAGATGGCTCTGAATCTAATAGTGGCAGGAGTCAGGACGCCATCTCCAGAAAGAGGGAAAATATTCATTTGTAAAAATGGCATAATAAGGGAATGAAGGTATTTTTTTCTTGTTTGGCGTTATGGTTCAGGTAAGGACAAATAAAAAGTGTAAAATTAATAAAGTCAAACTTGGAAAATGCATAGACAAATTTGAGAGTATGACACCGATGTTGATTTCTCTTGTATCTGTAGTGTCCACCTACACTGTTGGTCATAATGGTGGAATAGTTATTTTTACCCCAATTTATTGAATGATTTTGACGATGATTTATTCCTAATAGATCTAGATAATAGTATACATTCTCAGATTTTATTGAATGACAACTGGGGAGTGTTTGTTTTGCAAGACTGCTAAAGCTGTGCTACTATGCTAATCAACGAGGGGACCTATGATATAACATCCACGATTCGGCTATAGATGCATGTAAACACTCAATGCGAATCTTGCCCTTGATTAATAGGAAAAGTCATTGCCATTAAATTGATCCCGTGAGAATATTTTTGTATGTTACAGTCTGACAGTCGTCCAGGATCAAAATTATTGATCGGTCGGGGTTCCCTTTTGTACCCGCAGAGAAAGCAACAGGTCCAAAAGTTTCCCCATTGACGTCATACAGTTCTTTGTTATTATGCAAGCCCTCGTTGCATGCGCTATGCGTTGCGCATGCATAAAAAAGATCCTGAAAACAATATGCACGCAGCGAAAGTAAAGTAGACAGAGATTGCGAGAGATAGATCTACAATCTTCAGAATATTGGAATAAACATTTTGATTCCGGATCGCAACAAGAAATATTGGATAATAAGAAATAGTTTTGAGTTTTAGAAATGGGCAAGAAGAACAAGGTGGGTGATGGAGAAAATCTAACAGACGAAGAGGATTCTAAATATGGTGAGTTTTGTTCGTAAAGTCGAGTACGAAATGAGGGTTTTCACTTTCATGCGCCCTTCTTGTGTGCGGTTGCTAGTACCATAGCGTCCTACGCTACACCGGAGGGTTGGGCTTATATTGCTCGCAGCGTTCCGTTGTGTGGTTTAGCAGCGGCAATAGGCTAAATAGATTCGCTTGCACTTTGACTTGCAGACGCGTTTGCTTGTGGTTGTACTTTAAATCATAGTGATGCGATTTCAATTAGAGTCGAGATGTCTCTGTCTATAGAATATAATTGGGTTTAAAGGTAAAGGCCAGTTATGGTCATGCGATTGCATTGTGAAAGAGGAGGCGAGTTGGCTCAGTCGGTAAAGCGGCTGCCTGTCGAACCAAAGATCCCGGGTTCGACTCCCATCCAGGCGGATGACTGAAGTCTGCGTTGTGTGTTAACGTGCCCCTTCCCTTGTTCATAGACGCAGGTTATGTCAAGTGGAAAACACTCCGTCCCTCGGATAGGACGTTAAATGGAGGCCCCGTGTACAGGAGAGTCACCACCCTTGCACGTTAAGAACCTATTGCACTATTCGTATAAGAGAAGGGGGAAACCCCGGTGTAATGGTCCACCTGCACACCCCAATCAGGCCGAGTATACGGCATCTGCAAGAATCTTCAGTATTGAAGGAGGCAGATTATCTTGAAGAAGAAGAAGAAGAAGAAGAAGAAGAAACGTTGTGGAATTGATCAGAAAAGGTTGATCATCTAGCATCTGCAAGGTTCTGGAATCATCAAAATGATAAGAAATTTGGCCCATTCTTCGTAAAGTTACAAGCACTATACACAGAAAGATGAATATGGGACTACCCTATATCTCTCACAGACCATGAGAGAAACAAATTTACCAAATATATGAATTAGTAGGCGGTTTCCCGGCAAATTTTTTATCATCATGTATTAGTCGAAACATATTCTTTCACATGATTGGTAATGAGAGCTTCCATTTCATTTTTTGAAATTGGGGCGTTTCCAATACTGGTCTTTACCTTTAATAGCACAAATTAGTCTTTGGAACTTTATTATTAACCAACCACTTCTGAAGAAGTATCCAAGGATTACAGGATCTATACCTCTCCTCGTAATCGTATCATGAATGATGATGATGATGATGATGATGATGATTAATAAATTAATAGGGAATGTATTCTATGATTTTCTTTTTTCTTTTTTTTTGGAGGGGTTGGGGGGGTTGGGAGGGGATGTCATTTAACAAAAATAAACTGTCACTTTTGCCTTTGGATTTAGCGAAAAATATTCATTCAAAAGCATGTGATCAAAGTTGTCTTTGATAATAATTAATAGGTCTACATCATGTACATGTACAGTATATAGAGGTCTAGTCTATGACTTGAAATATTGATTAAGTTTTTTTTTTGTGGAATTCAAGATCATTCTCTACTCGCTGACTCAAAATGAAATTTGATATATTTTTCTTATGCTTACATCATCTCCTTTCTAATGCGCATTTCTCTTTCCTCATCTTCTTAATCTTAATCCCACATGCAGCTCATCATTTTGTATTATTTTCTGTACCCCCGATCTCTCACTTCTCTTTTGGCAGTATCTACTATTTGTATCATGACTGTGTTTTCCTATCTTTGTCATGAAAAGTACTGCCTTGTCCAGTTCTCGTCTCTGTTATTCCTAAGTATCATTTGAGGTGTCCGCACTTGTACAAGCATTGCTTTTTAGTGAACCCTCTGCTTCCAAAACGTTTTCCAAAATTGTTGTTAGTGTAAATAATTGATTTGTAATGTTTTGTTGGAAACATAAATAAATAGAAATTGAAATTGAAGTTTTGCACATAAACTTCTTCAAATTACTGTTTGGAATAAACTGTCTGGATAAACAACAGGTCCAGACTCCAGACACACACCGTGTGGGCATGATAAATAACAGAATTTAGAACAAGTTAGAACTACAAGTAGGTCAAAGGTTCCTTCACCTTCATGCATGCTAGGGTTTTGAATGGACTTCTAGATCTATAAACTATATTTAATGTCAGTAAATCAAATTACACAATTAGACGAATGAGCAAGGCCAAGGCAAGGGTGACTGCACTCAACTACAAAGTAGACCTGCAGACGACTGGGCAAGGGAAGGCAAAAAAAAAAAAAAAAAGCTACAAAAGACAGACACAACTTTCAATTTGTATCACTTTTTATAGTTATGCTTCATATAAATCTATTGTCATAGTTCACAAAATATGACCTCATGTACATGTATTTTAATAATTTGAATAAAGTTAATTTGATATCAGAGCCCCACAAAATGGTAAATACAATACCCTCAATATGGATAAAAGTAAATTCATTGCATATATTTTTTTAAACAAAAGAAAATGTAATAAAACAAGATATGTGTGATTGTGTGTAATACATTTAACCCTGCACAATTTTAAATAGTACCTTTAATGGGATTATAACCAATTAAATGTAGCCCCCCCCCCCCCACCCACCCAAGAGACAAATGTCCAGCAGTACATTTCAGTTGGCTTTAATTCACTGATGTAATATCATAACTCCAAATATTGAATAGTCCCTATTATCTCAATTTACAATGTAGGTACAGTAATTTATATCTTGAGCCCCAAAAGATTAAAGCCCCTCGAAAGTGTTGGGAGCCCAACAAATTTGATGGGAATATTTTACTTAAATTGTATCATAATGTGATAGAGGATGTCATTTAAGACACATTTCTGCAAGGATTTTCAAAACAAATTTAGGTTATCTGCATACAACAGAAAATTCAAATTATATATTCCTTTATCTATATTTGTCTTCAAACACATTCTTTTGGGAAAATCTTTGCACAAGTGTGTCTTAAATTACATCCACTGTCACATTATAATATTATATAATAATTCAAGGGAGATTTTGCCATCAAATTGTTGGTGAATTTGGGGCTCCCAATTAATACTTTAGACAGGTTTTAAATACATGTAATGCCTTTAATGGGTAAACAGGCATTTTTTTATCACCACAAAGTCCAACAGTTATGTGCCTTTAATCTGGATATGAATTTGATATCACCTTTGAAGGAGTGACTATTGACCGTGTATAACCAGAAAATAATAATTATTGATCAGCTTCTGAAGAGATGTGTGGAGGCCAACCTGAAGTGCAAGCAATAGAGTTATCTGATGTTTATATGCACTGTATGGATCGTACTATGGTCTGGAGCTGAGATGGAAAGTGCAAGGATATATTTATATGATCTATTTAAAGATTTACATTTACAGATGTACATGTACATGTAGATTGGTTCATCACCTTAAAAGAAACCTCACCCCAAGAAATAACTTTAGTTATTCTGAGATATTTCATTGTATTTCTCCCCACCAAAGTGTTTGGGAGAGGTACATGTATAAAGCAACAATAATCACAGTTTCTCAGCATGACATGGCCATCACCATTTTCTTGATAATGTGACATCCGAAGTATGTGAAGTAGTTTATCAAGTAAATGTAAAGAAGTTTATGGATGCTTTCTTCCCAGGTGTGTGTGGTGATGAAGCATTTCATTCACCTGCTATTATCCTTTGTAAAGTATTACTATTGCCAGAACCCAAATTGCATGAATAAGTTGGTGCTCTTCTGGTGTGAAGGTTTCGCATTAGTAATTTTAAATAAATGAACTCCAATTGTTCCCATGTTAGATTTGACCTCCTCAGCGATTTTCCCTCATTGAAAAATAAACATTGAAAAATAAATGCTTTGTTATTGAATTAAAAAGTCTTTCCACCTAAAGATTGGTGTACATGTATGTACAAATTTGCCTGGTACGTCACATAAAATGGCTGCACCCATGTCATGCTAAAAGGCATTACATCATGCCAAGAATATCTTCATTTTTTGTACTTTCCCTTGAGGAATATTGTACATCAAAGGGCAGAAATACATCTCATTTTTGAGCATACCTACACTGTACATTTTTGGGATGAGGTTTCCTTTTATACTCTATTTATCAAATTTAAGATATATTCCACATTGTGATGTAGCAATCATCCTTTCTCTTTATCCATGGTAGTCATTATAACGTTGTCTAAAGTGGAATGGATGAAATGTTTTCTCTTCCTAGTATTCTTGAGAATGAAGGCTATATAAATCTTAAATATTATTATTATTATTATTATTATTACAATGTATGTTTTTAGTTTATTTGAAAATGATTCTCAAAAATATTTGAATGGGTACATGTACATGAATGTAATATACAACTGTAGCAGGAATTGAAACATTGAGAATGATGCTAAATTCCTACAATATTCTCCATTATTTTCCATTGATTTTTAATAAATTTAGGATTACAAGGAATTGTTACATTTTATCTATCATTGCACTGAAATATTACATCGTGACATTGCATATGAAGCTCAAAGAATATTTGTAAAAAAATAGAAATAAAAGGATTGCTCCAATTTTCTTTTTTGTATTATTTTTGTTTCAAGTTTTAATCCAAAATTCTATGTTCGATAAAGTAAAAATCTATGTAGAATTCGATAATGAACACTTTTGAGGCTCTTTAATAGGAAAGATTCTCCTAGAATTCTGTCAAAGCCTGTCAACAAAAATGTATGTGTACACTGTAATTTGATTTTCTTTCAACTGCATAGTAAAAAGCGAGACATAGGCGCCATAAGCGTTTCCCTTGTTTTGATTTTGATTCTGATTTTTTTTTTTTTTTGGGGGGGGGGGGGGGCCTTAAAATTATTAATTTTCTAATTTTCGTCGATTTAAAATGAATGAGATCTAATGGAAGGAATGCACTGAAAAGGATTTTAAAAATCCCCCATTTCATTTCAGTACAAAAAAACACATTAGATTCACTCATGATCATACTGTACACGTACATTGTATTTTTATTACAGAATATGATTTCATAATCACCTGTCTTATATTTTCTCATTAGGTGTTCTCATTTGTCAATCTCTTTATTTGCCTCCATTTTTTATTCTTTCACTTTCACCTGTCCCTGTCTTATCATCCACAATTGCCAATTAATTGGCTTTCTCGCTTTTTCATTTTGTAATTAGCCATCATTGTGTGTGTACTAATGATTGTGCAGCCTTAATGCGTGCAAAGCACTTTCACCTCACTACACTGTAGTCTTAAATATCAGACCCTGTGTCATCAAAATAATTGTGATTTTCAATGTGAAATGTAACTTTCTATTTTTTTGGTACAGTAATACCAGTATGGTAGGAATTTTCATTCCAATATTTTGGATTATTTATTTTTGACATTATTTACACTGAAGCACAAGTGTTAGCCCAGTCACTGTACTTCTTTGAAAATGTTGTTAATTATTAATCCCATTGAAAGAAAACATGATCTGATATATGGCATCAATATGTTTTTTAAAATCATAATGATCTTGATGTGCATGAGTAAAGATGGCATTACGGATGCATTCGATCCCCATACACTGCCCCCTTTTCTTGAGCCTAATCATTATCCATTGCCAAGCACAGACTACCACCATAGAATTGAATCCATACAAGGATCATGCGTTGCGACTACCACAACCTGTTACTGCGTTGCTTAGCAACGTACAGCTACTCTCACAATGGATTCCTCCACGTACACAATGGGACAGGGTAGCTGAGCTCTTGTGGTGCTGGCGTGTATGTGTGGCTGCTTAGGCCTGAACAAAGTAGAGCCATGGGTTACACTGTAATATGTATCTGTTTGGTGCTGGTTTGGTGATTAGGAATAATAGATGGATATAGAGCAGCAGAGAGTAATGGAAAATGAGAAAAGGTTGGATGACTCTAATGTACATGACATAGCCATAAACAAGATCACATACTACTATGAATTATGAGAGAGAGAGGGAGGGTGGGAGAGTGAGAGAGAGAGAGAGAGTGTGTGTGAGAGAGAGAGAGAGAGAGAGAGAGAGAGAGAGAGAGAGAGAGAGGGAGAGAGAGGGGGAAAAAGAAGAAGATCTGAACATTACACTGTACCTATATAAAATTGTGGGATTAGGGAAAAAGGATGATTCTATATAAAGGAAAGTGACATTATCTCTCTATTATTTAAAGAACAGTTCTGGGTTTACTTATCATTCATAGACATAATTAAGGGGTTAAGGCGGGGGTCTTAGCCCCACCTATACATGTAGTACGGGATTAAGCCTATTCCACTTTCTGTTCAGACTGGCTTTTACCAAAGTGGGCTAAAGTTGGCTAACCCCACCTATAGTACGGGGTTAACTAACCCTGCAAAATAGCAGGACTAACTCCGCAATTGTGGTGCTCACTCCTGCTAACCCCGCAATTGCGGTGCCAAGCAAATGAGAACATGAAGAAACAAAAAATAGTCCGGTACTACGCAATGGAGCGTATCGCAGCTGGCCAGATGCGAAGTATGTCCAATCATAATATTCACGATATCCGGGGTTAACGAATTGCAGTGAGAACAGCGTGAATTTTCTTATTCCGGAATAGGCGCTAGTACGGGACTAAAAGCAGCGTGTGTGAAAAGCCAAAAAAATAGTCCGGGGTTAAGGATAGTACAGGGCTAAGCAAAGTACGGGGTTAAGCAAAACCAGTGTGAAAAGAGTATCAAACACTTCTAATACATGTAGATTATTACATAAATGGGTGGCAGGCCTATCCTATATTCTACAAATGCATGTACAAAATGTTACAGTTGTACTTAGGGAGCCATAATTACAGCAGCACAAGCTACATGTACATGTACAAGAAGCAGCTTTAAAAAAAAAATCTGGTTTTAATAATATATTGCCTATTTTTAGTGACACTGTAATATGTACATGTATGCACTATAAGTGACCATGTAGCGTCATGTTTGCTCATCAAATATAAATTAAGTGAAAGTCAATACACATGAGTCGACATGACAGTGTGCCTTGTACTGCCTAGTACTGTCTAGCATCATAAATTAAAGATTTTACCCTGTATATGCAGCTCAGGTGGCTCATTTTCATCAGCAAAATTGGTAAACTTTGTTCTTCTAGGAAGATTTTTTTTTCTTTTTTTCTTTCAAATTAGAATACAATTAATGCAAGAGAAACCATATTAAAGAATATACCGGTAATGAAAATTTTGAAACATTACATAATACATGAACAGATGTACATGTACAGTGCTGTATGAAGAATATTTCATTGACAACCTATAATTTGAATGGGGATGGCCTTTAATAAAGGGATCCAGTAACTTTGTCTCGGATTCTGTGAAACAAAATTATTTTTTAGGGCTTCAATACTACACCATATCACCGACACTGATAACAAGTAGGGCCGTGTATCTCAGATTTAACATTGTTAGACGATCCCTTTAAAGAACCAAACTTATCTTTTGTTTGACCTGCAGGAATATTAAAATCATTTAATTTGAAAGCAACTGTGAAATTACATTTTCTTAAAGTATATATAATTTATGTAGCAATATTCAATTCATATAAATGTGTCAGCTACACAATCTACATGTATATGTTTTATTAACTCAAAATCATAAAGGCACAATGGGGCATGACGTTAATCTGGCAATGTTCATGCATACAGTGTACAATTTAATATGAAATCTACATGTAGGGCATATGACAGATTCAGTATCAATTACACTGAGAAAATGAAATACATCCTAAAGCACAGATCTCCTTAAAGATAAGCTAATTTGTGTAATCTTATATATGTTCAGATTATATTCTAATCCTGCCTAATTAATTGACTCTTCCAGTGTACTTTGTAATTATTCTGTCTTACAGCTGTAGATGCAATACAATGTAGTTACTTGTATCAATGTTGCATTGAGAATAATCAGTATTAATGTGTTAAAATTCACGCTTGAGTTAGCGAATTGACTTCAGTACTTGTTGCTAAAAAATATGTATCATGTAGTTCTGCAGCTACATGTACAGTTGTACACTTACCTGTATATGTATATTAGCGTAGAACATCCAAGCATAATTCAACCATGTACATGTACATGTACTGTATGTTGTGGATCTTACAATTGGAACATAATTCAGATGTTTTACAATGGTTTTTAGTATTAAAGCTATAAATCTATTTGAAGGTTAATATCCATCACTTTACGAGCTTTATCGATTGTGTTAACTTTATCTCTTTTTCCCATCTTTTTTCTCAGTTTCTCACAGTATGCTCTCTCTCTCTCTCATTTTCTTTCCATCTTTTTTTCTTTCTCTTTCTATCTTTTTTTCTTTTTTTCTTTCTCTTTCCATCTTTTTTTTTCTATCTTTTTTTCTTTCTCTTTCTATCTTTTTTTTCTATCTTTTTTTCTTTTTTTCTTTCTCTTTCTATCTTTTTTTTTCTATCTTTTTTTCTTTTTTTCTTTCTCTTTCTATCTCTTTTCTTTCTCTTTCTATCTTTTTTTTTTCTATCTTTTTTTTCTTTTTTTCTTTTTTCTTTCTCTTTCTATCTCTTTTCTTTCTCTTTCTATCTTTTTTTTTCTATCTTTTTTTCTTTTTTTCTTTCTCTTTCCATCTTTTTTTCTTTCTCTTTCTATCTTTTTTTTCTATCTTTTTTTCTTTTTTTCTTTCTCTTTCTATCTTTTTTTTTTCTATCTTTTTTTCTTTTTTTCTTTCTCTTTCTATCTCTTTTCTTTCTCTTTCTATCTTTTTTTTTCTATCTTTTTTTCTTTTTTTCTTTCTCTTTCTATCTTTTTTTTCTATCTTTTTTTCTTTTTTTCTTTCTCTTTCTATCTTTTTTTTTTCTATCTTTTTTTCTTTTTTTCTTTCTCTTTCTATCTCTTTTCTTTCTCTTTCTATCTTTTTTTTTCTATCTTTTTTTCTTTTTTTCTTTCTCTTTCTATCATTATTTCTTTCTCTTTCTATCTCTTTTCTTTCTCTTTGTATCTCCCCCTGTATATACATGTATAAATTATCTCTCTCATGTTTTTATGATCCAATTTTGTACCACTTTCCTCTTTAACATGTTAACTTCTCTGTAATAAAATTCTTCAAAAATAAATGTCTGTGTTTATAATACACACACATGTATATATGACACATACATATCCATGTTAACATACTTGAACTTCATGAAGTTGAATCTACCTTTCTTGTTTTCTTTGCAGGCCACCCATCCAAATATGACCCAACATTTAAAGGACCCATAGAAAACAGGTAAGCAATACACGTGTTTTTATACAGTGTGTTCAAAGTGTTTGTGGCCCCTTGTACCACATCTCCTTATAATATGGTAACAATTATGTTCCTTAGCATATACAGTACCCCCTTCAAAATTATGCTAGTATTATCTGTTGACCTACATTTAGCTGTTTTCTATATTCCTTTACACAACATTACATGTACAATGTACATGTACATGTACATGTACCGGTATATAACTGCTCCCACCCCTCCCCCAAAAAAGTAAGAAAAAAGGAGTTTTTATTTCCCCTGCATCATAACTTGCTTTACATTTGAAAATTGAATCAATATTTCTAAATTTAGACAATAATTCAGTGTCTTAATATGAATTCTATTGTGGACAAAGGTCATTTGGGCCGAGATATTGATCAGCATTTATGGCCCACTTTGGAGTTAAATTATTATTCAAACCCAAATTATTAGTGGAGGAGATTGTCATTTCCTGTGATTTAGAACTGTAGAATCATGCTGTGTTTGCTTACATATAGGGTTATAAATATTAAAGCCATCGGATAGTTTGTTGGCCTTTGCTGACCTGTATGCATTATTCATTCATAAAGTTGGTCCTATAGTAAACTTGCTTTTTAGACTTGGTTTTAAGAAATTGTATTTGTTGATTTTTTAAGACTTTTAGTACATTGTGGATATTGAAAAGGGACTTTAAACAACATCATGTAGTCAGGTGGCTTATATAGTGAAACTACCCTTACATGCCGTTATGTGCTACCTTATAGTACAAATCTTGTAGGATATTGCTTACTATAATTTGTTGTAAAATTATTTTCTATTTGACTATATTTGAGTGCACAGTGGATATTGAGAAAAGACTTTAACAAATTTTACAAAATGTACACTGTACATGTACAGTACATGTACATGTAAATGGCATTTGATATGATGAAGAACTTTGATTTAATTTAAACATTACATAATTGTAAACAATGAATTCTAAGCAGTTAAACTCTTTTTAAAAGTGCCTTTTTTATTTTCTCTTTCTTGCAGGGGCTGTACAGATGTGATCTGTTGTCTTCTTTTCATAATATGCATTGGTGGTCTGGGTGTAGTGGGCTACCTTGGTAAGTGCATGTACAGTACACCCTGAACATTATTCAGTTTTAAAAAAAATGATGTTAAAAGATTAGAAGCGCTGTACAATCTGCATCATATGGTTTGGGAATATTTGTGACTTCAAAAGATCATGGCAACTGAACAACTAAACCTAACATCCTTAAATGTAGTACTTACAGTGTAGTAAAAGAAGAATTAGCATAAGATAAAGAAGAAGTAGCAATAGTACATGTAGTTGTAATAGTAGTAGAATTTGTAGTAGTAAAAGCAGCAGTAGTAGTGGTGGGGGTAGTAGTGGTGGTAGATGTAGATACCCAGGGAGAGACTAAGATAGAGATAAATAAATACATATATATATATATATAGAGAGAGAGAGAGAGAGAGAGAGAGAGAGAGAGAGAAAGAAAGAAAAAGAGAGAAAGGAAAGAATTATGTGGAAATTGGGAAAGAAAGAGAGAGAGAGAGAAAGAGATGAAAAATATATCAGAGGAGTCAGCACATGATCAATGGACTGTCATAGTAGCCTTGTGACCTCAGAAAAAACTCCAGACAACTCTCTGCCCTTATTTCCACCAGCTACATCTTTGTCAATTTTCAAATTTTTTTCAAATTGAGTTGAAACTGAATAGATACAGTGTTTGTTAAAAAATGATTGAATCAACCTCTTGTTCTTTCAGCCTGGACCCAGGGTAATCCCATTAGTCTCATCAAACCAACTGACAGTGTGGGGAATATCTGTGGCTACTCAGATACAGTCACGTAAGTCATTTGTATGATTTGTGGAGTACCACAGGGCACTTTTTTTGGACAATATTTTCCTACATTGAACACACTTTATACACAAACAATTTCAGGGTGGAATCAGTATGTTTGATTGATTGAAGAATTTTTTTCATTGAATTTTAAATTTCATTCTTGCAGTCTGAAGACTGTATTTTGATGGGTACAATACGATGTACATGATTAAAAAAATGCTAATAGAATATTCAAACAGTTCTGAAAATTTTTATCAATATCCAAAAATAATGGCATTAATGATAAGTGTTATCATTAGAGTAGCTTATAAGTGAATAGATTGCAATTGTACCTACAGCCTGTACAAATACAACTTTTCATTGATGAAAGATTTTTCTTTTTTTAGTACTAGAGAAATTGTTATCTTCACGTAAAAAATAATTATCATAAGAGTAGAATTAATACAAGTTCATTGAGATAGAGAAGATTTGATGAATTAGCGGACCATTACATTATAAAGAATAAACACTTTATATATATATATATATATATATATATATATATCAATAATGTATATTCATCTAATTTATCAACAGATATAACATCCCGAGTCTTTCATCTCAATTAGACATATTTTTGTTTTCTATTTAAAACCCATTGTATTTAGATCTTGTAGGTATTTTTATTATCTGTTTTAAACTGTAATATGATAAAAGAGCTTCATACTTTAACACCGAAATTGATGCTTTTCTAGCTATCTGCAGATGATTTATTATTCATAATCGGAAAGATATATATGTTTATGCTTGTATTTTCATTTTTTTAACTAAATGTTTCTATCACACAGAGACAAGCCGTATTTGTACTTCTTCAATTTCCTTGATTGCCTGAGCTACTCAACACTCCTCAACATCAAATGTGCCACCACACAGGTATCTATTGTTTCTTAATTACCCTACATGTTCTATACCATGTTTATACTCAGGTCAAGAATGGCTGCTTGGCTACTGAGAGATAAAATTGTTTTACTTTTTATTCTTCGGTTGTTTTATACATGCTTTGATGATACTTGTCCATGGTCAGTTTCTTCAACCAAATTCCTTACTCCATTCCTGGATCAAACACTTTACCTAACCCTAATCATCACCCTTAATCTAAACTAAAATCTAATCTTGACCCTAGTCCAGACTCTATATGTTTGATGAAATATAGCCATGAGCTATTGTCACCTTAGCTAATGTTGAATCACCCTTTCGTTATTAAAGCTGTTTATAGAAATGCCCTGATATTTACATTATTCCTCTGTTATTTTGCTAGTGATACCATGAATAAATATTTTTTTCTTTCTTGAAGCCACTAATTGATACAATTCTTTCCTCTTGAAGCTAATTTATGATTGATATCGGTTACTCTGACAACTGATAATTTTTTATTAATTTTTGTATCTTGGAGCTCATAAATGTGTACACTGTATGTTGAGTTTTTCAGTGGAGCAACTTTCTATAAAGTAATTTTCTAATCTTTTTTTATTTATTTTGTAAGAAAATAAAAGAAAGATGTTGGATACACTGTAGTAGATATGTATACATTTCTGTAGATTCTTATTAATAATACTAATAGTCCATTGGTAGTTTAGAAATAAAATAGACTAATATAGATACATTTGCGGGTATCATTTAACACTTTGATGTATTGTAAATTAATCCTACCTATATTTAAATTTCCTCTTGCAGATATGCGTGTCGTCCTGTCCAAACTACACTGCAGCCCCGTATACATCGGTAGCTCTGAGCCTGGCTGACAACCTCCCTCTGGACATATCTCTCATCAACTGGGATAACTTCATCTGTGACTATGACTTTGACCCTCAATCAGAGTACTTGACCTCAGGTGGAACCTACGTAAGTCTTTAGAAGTGGCCTCTTCAGGGGAGTGTTTCACAAAGACTAAGATCGACTTTAAGTTGGACTTAACTATGGCAGGCGGTTCACTGTTTGCTCTAACCATTTACTGGCATTGGTCTCTCAAGGGACGTACAAATCATGGTCAGAAATCTACAGAACTTTCATCTTTTGATAGTTTTTTATTGAAGGAAAACATATTATTCATATCATAATTGAGAGACCAATGGTGAGAGCAAACAATGGCATGAATGGCCTACCATAGTTAAGTCCAACTTAAAGTCGATCTAAGTCTTTGTGAAACACCCCCCTGATCCCTCTTTCATAAAAACTGTTATCAACGACAAAGTTCTTTGCTTTTAGCCAATCAAATGCAACAACTGCAGTAGTTGTGGATATTGACAGCAAAATTTATGAAACTTGTGCCACCAAGTTCTTATACAAGTGTGATTTTAACTTTCAGTGTTAGAGGGCAATCCAACCCTTGTAATAAGTTCAGTTGTATGAAAGCTGAAAAGTAAGCAAAACAGATTGGCAAAAATATACTCCATGGGAGCTGGTATACATGTACCTTACAATATCTGTGTTTGAGTCCGTAATAGAAAGAGTTGCCACTTATAGTCCAAACACATTGTATTTCTATAATCATGGTCACATGTGTCATTTTGATGTTTGCAAAGACAATATATGTGATGCATTTTGTTATTGAAATTGCTGAAGTCGATATAACACATTACATACTAAATTATCTATTCTTTCAAAAACGTTTGAGAATGTCATCTTATATTTTGAAAGTCATCCATGTATTACTTAGTACAAATTGAAGATGTTTTCCTATTGATTATCATTACAGGAAGGTACTGATGGTCTGGAGAAGATGTTTGAAGATGACAAGTGTGCATCATATGTGATAGCTCAATCTCCATGTAAGTTTTTAGCATCTCCAAACCAGCTCAATGTATGGAATTTACAAAGGAGGTTTAAACCTCCAAGTAGTGAGAAGGTTAAAACCTCATATATTGGAGGTACATTTTGCATCAATGACCAAAAAACAATGTCAAAGATATTTCAATGCTCATTTCTGTTATATCATTATGTTTATTATTGTCTGTTATTGTTTATATTATGTTTATATTATGTGCAAAAAAATAATTTTTTTGTTTCCCTTGAAAATGGATTTTCATTGAAACATGTACTAGGCACCGGTACATAAAAATCGACCACCACCTGTTTCACTGTTTTATTTAGTGAAAATGAAATATACTCATCAAATTTTAAATGTTACATTCCTTGTTTGACTCATAGATCTGGATCGCTGTATCCCGTCTTTCCTTGTTAACTCTCTGAGCTCCGTGACAGAAGTTTTCTCTGAAGACGAGTACATTCTTACCGGTCCTGGAGACTCTAACAATATCACATCAAGCAATGCTGGAGAGCTCTTTGAAACGTAAGTGTCTTGTTAAAGGCATCGTTTATAAATCTGAGATGCACTGCCCTACGTGTTATCAGTGTCTGTGATATGGTGTAATATTGAAGCCCTAAACAAATTGCGCTCCAAAATGATCAAGAAGTGCCTCAAAAAAGTAAAAATCTTTGAGTGACCGTTTATACCTTACTCGTTTTCCCCAATAGACTATAGTGTTATGAAAACTGTTAGCAAAACGCAATATTTGGTTCGATTTCCAATCATAAATATCTTGATAATCAGACAGACGTTGTTGGCTTGTAAAAGTCATGGGGTTCCTGACTGACCTAAAGATTTATAATTATCATTGCAGCATTAGCTAAATCCAGAATTTTGTTTCAGAATCTGAGACAAAGTTACCGGATCCCTTTAAAGCCCTTTATACAATCTGAATCTGCTGAAAAAAGGAAATTGTCTTTTGTCAATATCCAAGTTATTGTGCTTGATGATTAATGATTATGATACATGTTGCTACATATCATGCGTGTCTCCATATCCCAGGGGATGCTCAAAGGTCATACAAAGTATTGATATTACACTGCCTTAAGCCTAGCTGCACCAAGATGTTGGGACTATCCGAAGAATGACTTCCAACTAAATACCTACTGTGTATACTACACCTGGGTCAAGAGTGGCAAATGTACATTAATGTCTTGCCAAAGGACTACATTGCTACGGCTGTGATACAGCCGTTCTATTGGTTTCCTTTAAAGCCTGTTTGCACTACTTGTAGCTACTTGCGCCCTCTATATAGCAAACAATGCCTAAGCGTTACCAGTTGGTTCCCCATAATCCCCTTTTTCTTTTGTTAATTGAGAGCTGATTTGATGAGAAAACCACCTGTCAGTGACCATGCAGGGAGGTCTAATCCCTCCCGGCCAAACAAGTGCAGACAGGCTTTAGAATAGGTGTAAAGAATGTTAGTAAAATATGTTCCAACAACTAAGGTTGACTCTTCCCTTTTAACGCTTCTAATTTCTACATGACCATCTTCTCTGTATTCTTCCTCTGTATTCCACAGATCTGTCAATCTCATCCTGGATGTCTTTAACCTGATAGAGGTTATCTATCAAGATGTTGCAACATCCTGGTACCTCATCTTGGCGTAAGTATATGCAGATTTTAATTCCTGAAAGGAGCTAAATCCATTTTTGTAACTTTAGAGAAAAAAGAGTTTTGTTTACCACATTTTGTACAGGCATCTATGCAAAAGTGATATTAGAAGGTGCATTTGTTCATAATTGCTCCCAAAATTAAGGTAAATACTTTTGTTGAAAGACAGGTACTTAAAGAGAAGGTTGAGTTCTGGGAAGAGGTGAAAAATAAATTTGTGAGCGTTACTCATTCTTATTATGCAAGTGTGGAAGAACATCAGATAAGACATGTTCCCTGAAAAACATGGCTCTTCAAATGCCTTCATATTTTAAATATACATGTAACATTGTAAAAATCGGGGGGGGGGGGGGGGGGGGGCCGGCTTCTTACGCCACGTGTTCGTGTAGTCCCATATACATCATTCTGTGTACAATGTTTGTAAATTTACCAAGACTTGGCCAAATTTATTATCATTTTGATGATTCCAGAGCCTTGCAATACACACAAATTCTTATATGCTAGATGATCAACCTTTTCTGGTCGGTTCCACACCGTTTCTTTCACAATGCAATCGCATGACCAGAACTCAACTTTATCTTTAAGTGACAATGTTGTGATATCAATTACTAAATTTTCATCAAAAGTGGATTTAGCTCCTTTTGGAATTAAACTGTACATGTGTATCACATTATCATAGTAAAGAATAATCAAAAACATATCTGTTTTTATAACTGAGTATACAATTTTCAACCGATGTAAACCATATCAATTCAAATAGAATTAAAGTATTTATAAGATAATATCTCGTAGTACTGAAATTCAAATCTGCAGGTTAAAAACAAAATTCTAATAAGAGGGACCAAAATCTTTTTCCTGATTGTGAGTTCCTTGACACTTCTGGGCCCTGTTGCTTAAAACTAACCATTGATGGTAAGTTTGCCATCGATAGGAACTACCATGGTAACAGGGCTCAACAGCCAATCAAAATCAAGGTTTCCATGGTAGTTACCATTGATGGCAAAGTTACCATCAATTGTAAGTTTTGTGCAACGGCGCACTGTATTTCTTAAGCTGATTATAATGTTTTATTTCTTAATCCACTGATTTGCTTTTATGCTCCCTGAACCCAAAGAAAGACCAATATTGTCTTTCATGGGGTCAAGAAACTTTGTCACTTCATCCAGATACTTTGTTAATATTTCGTTTTGTTATTTCACAAACCATGAAAACTATGAGTACTATATTTATCACTCCCGCCACTCATCCTCTCCAAGCGCTATAGTTCTCCTTAGAACTATAAGCTAAGAAAGATAACCAACAGTCTTTTTCAAAGACTGTACCAACCAGTCCTTTTTCAGGACTACAAACCCTCAAGAAAGATTACCGAGAGTCCTTTTCAGGACTCTTCAATCCTCCCTCTCTCTCACATGGTGCACCCGCAAGCCTACTGTATATATTTATCATATGGTAGATTATCTAATAAAATGTACACATCTTCCTTAGATTGCAAGATCAATTAAAACTTTTCTATTATTATCTAATTCCAGTGGCATGGGTATCGGTATGTTGATTTCTTTCATCTTCATCATCATTATGCGTTGGTTGGCCGGTGTGATCGTCTGGTTCTCCATCTTTGGCTTGTACGCCGTCCTAGGAGTGGGTGAGTAACACACAGTCAAACCTGGGGGGTGTTTCACAAAGATTTTAAATCAAACTTAACTCAAGTTGGACTTAAAAATTATGAAGAGCCATTTGTAGCCTTATAATGAAATATGTTTTTAAAAAAAATTATTTTAGACTTTTCATAAATTCCACATCAAGAACATGAAATCTCCCACGATAATAGAAAATATGAATGACTTGAATCAACATTATATGCCTTTTAAAATAACTTTTACAAAATATTTTCAGAGATGCTAACGGCTTTCCCTAATTATTAAGTCCAACTTAGAGATAAGTTCAACTAAGGATCTTTGTGAAACACCCCCCTGTTAGTAATGACCACTCAAATGCTGCAAGAAAAGTGTGATTTATTGCGTTATAAGTGAGTTTATTTTACAATGCCCTTTTAAGGCTCCATTGAAAGATTTGGCATGCATGGTGACATAGTTTCAATAAAAGTTTTAAGGACAGTGAGATAACCAAGAAAAATATAATGGAAAGGTTCCTCAATAAAATGAAATAAAATGATAATTCAGGGTATTTCCCTAAAATTTGCTTAAGAATGTAAAAATAAAATAAACAGAGAAGATAGTGAATGGTAACCTTTTAAAGCTGCACTGTACTACTTATAGCAACATGCGCCCTCTAGTAATAAACAATGCCTAATCGGTGCCTGTTGATCCCCCATGATCCTCTTTTTCTTATGTTAATTGAGAGCTGATTTGATGAGATAACCACCTTTCAGTGACCTTGCAGGGAGGTCTAATCCCCCTGCCCAAACTAGTGCAGACAGTCTTTAATTAGAAGTTTCCAGTGTACAGGTATCTATGTAATACATTGAAAGGTAGATTTATACCGGTATCTCTTCCAACCGCTTCCATGTCTGTGTCCTCTTTTCTTCTCTCATCAGGTATCTACTACTCCTACTACATGTATAAGAGCCTTGAGGGGGTAGATGGAGCGGACGCTGCTCTCACATTCACCTCAAACCTGTCTAGTTATCTCAGGCTTCAGACAACATGGCTTGTCATCGGTAATTTCAACAGAACGTCTTCATCATCAAATCTTAATATGTTGAGAGAATATTATGTTGGGGGGTTTTGTTGGGGCTTTTCTAGGTCGTTTGATTGGATTAAAATATACCGCAAATACCTCAAGTTGGACATATATTTACAAAGAGTTGATATCAATCGCAACTTAGCAACTATGTATATAAGAGAAAGGAGACTGCAACTTGCGATTGATTTGGATCAATTGCCACTCTTTGTAAGACGTGACCCTGGCACAACAAATTCACCCAAAATTCACCAAATATGATTTTCTTTTGTTTATAAAGGTCGATTCTGAAAGAAGAGCTTCTCATCTTTATAATTATAAGTAATTCATCACATTTGGTTGTTCCTAGCCAGATTTTTGTTTAAAGAGAAAATGTCCTGTCCTTGAGACAGTTACTGTGGATGGAAAACAAAAGGGGTTTAAAGTCTGTAGTCTATAAATCACTCTGATACTCAAGGTGTCATGTGTGAATACAAACATCTATTTTTTTAAATATTTTTTTTGTTGGTGGGGGGGGGGGATGTTGCATGAATTTTTGTATAACAGTCAAACCTGCTTTAGTGACCACCTGTCTACAAAGACCACATTTTTTTGTTTCCCTTGAAAATGGTTTCTCATTGAAACATGTACTAAAAAACCTGTACATATAAAGACCACGTTTCTTGTCTCCCTTGGATAGTCTTTATAGACAGGTTTCACTGTAGTAGTAAACTACTCTCACATTAAATCATTCCTATTTGATTTCAATTCAAGTAAGAAGATTGTTCTTTATTTCTTTTTTTCCAGGTATCATCCTGTCTGTGGTGCTAGCCATCCTCCTCCTCATGACACTGTGTCTCTGCACTCGCATACGTATTGCTATCTCACTCATCAAAGAAGCAAGCAGGTAAGATATATAATCTTCACTTTGATACTTAAAGATAAAGTTGAGTTGATCAGAAAAGGTTGATCATCTAGCATATCAGTATTGGTGTGTACTGCAAGGTTATGGAATCATCAAAATGATAAGAAATTTTGCCCAGTCTTGATAAAGTTACAAGCACTGTACACAGAAAGATGTATATAGGACTACACGAACACGTGGCGTAAAAATCCGTCCCGATTTTCACGATGTTACATGACATATTTAGAATATGAGGGCATTTGAAGAGCCATGCTTTTCAGGGAACATGTTTTATCTGATGTTCTTCCACACTTGCATAATAACAATGATAACGCTCACAAATTATTTTTCACCTCTTCCCAGAAATCAACCTTCTATTTAAGTGAAATATGATATGTACAGTCAAACCTGCTTTAGCGACCACCTGTATAGAATGACCACCTGTCTGTAGAAACCACATTTTTTGTTTCCCTTGAAAATGGTTTTACTATAAAGACCATCTGCCTGTAAAAAACACTTTTCTTGTCTAGCTCCCTTGGGTGGTCTTTATAGACAGGATCCACTGTATTGTTTAGTTCTAGAAGGAATTAAACCCTTATCAATTGATTATGAATCATTACCCTTGCTTCTCTGCTGACAAAATGAAACTAATAAGTACGAGCTAAGAAGGCTGTCTTAGATATGATTTATGCCCCCCCCCCCCTCCCCCATTTGGAAATGTATAAAAAGTGTATCAGGATAGAAGCTGATCATAATGCATTGCCGTGAAGATTTATAAGATATATTTGTTTTCTTTTTCTCCCAGGGCAATTGGGCACATGATATCGACGCTCTTCTGGCCCATCCTACCATTCCTGCTGGAGTTGATCGTAGTGGCGCTGTGGGCTTGCATTGCAGTGTATCCTTCACATATATGATGCTATACTTATAGGGGTGATACAAACTGGAGAAAAAAAATTGTAATGGAAGTTTCATAACAAAATCTTGTTCATTAAATGAGTGGTACAGTAAATAAATTAAACCTAATGTGTGAACTCAATATAGAAGGTGTTTTTTCATAAATTTAGTTGTGACATTGTAGAGATCGTGAACTGTTTTGTACAAACCCACAAAGTGTCATGTTGCTGGGGTCCACTGCTCACTCAGGGCTCAAGGATATGCTCTCTGTTGCAATCTGAGCTATATTTTGGTGAATTTTCAAACAAATTTTTAGACTAATGTTTCAAAAATAGTCTTGGCTGAGAATGAATTTAAAACTGTCACTAATTTTCTAAACTGTAATTTTGAAACTCAACCCTGTAGCTGATTTTCAAACATTATTTCAAAGTTCAAACCTGTCTCTGGTACCTGTTATTACCCGTGACTACCCTGCTCTGTTTTGAACCAGTATCTGTCAGAGTTAGGGTGTATATACAGAGGTAAACTCACATTTCCCTGTTTGATCAGCCATGTTTGAAAGCCTTAATTCCAGTCCCTTGACACAGTTATCTGGCCACGTCACATCAAGCCATGTACGCAGTGTACAACGCCCCGTCAGACTTTGGGCTTGAAAACGGCACCTCCTGCGAGATAGCTGTAAGTATCTTAAGCCTGCTTCAGAATCTTTTGTTATACATTGTTTTCATGATTTTGTGATTCATAGATGAAAAATGGCATATTTTCTTTAAAAACATGCCCATTTTGTGTTAAATAGTTCTAAAAGGATTTGATTTACCATATTTTGTTGATAATACAAATTTATACTTACTTATATGTAATCATACTTTTTATGCTGAAAATAATAGAAATACCCTTTGTGGTCGAGTGGTTTAAGGCGCTTGACTGGAGATGCGAAGGTCGAGGGTTCAAATTCCGACATGGCACTAATATCCTTTGGCAAGATATTTACCTGCACTTGCTACTCTCCACCCAGGTGTTAAATGGGTACCCTGTAGGATGCGAAAGTTCATGTGGTTGGACAAGCAAGTGTGCGCTTGTAAAATGGCGACTGGCTGGAATGCTCCCCAGGGAGTGGAAAATGTGCATACATTATGTGTGAGTAAGCCTGAATCTGATGACCGGGGTAATAATGTATCTGTAAAGCACTTACCGGTAGGCACATCGTTGGATCGATGTATTGAGCGCTATATAAACAAGAAATATCATTATTATTATTATTATTAATAAGTTTTATGAAGGAGGATCTTGATCACTCACTTATATTCTTTGATTGTATTTTGATATCTATGCAGACCTTTGCGTCCAACAACACAACTGCCACCTGTGGGTTCCAGGAGTACGCTCTCCCTTCCTACACCATCTACCTACAGTTCTACAACCTCTTCATGTTCTTCTGGTTGGTCAACTTCATGATAGCCCTTGGTCAGATCACCCTGGCCGGAGCCTTTGCCTCCTACTACTGGGCCTATACCAAGCCACAGGACATCCCTGCATTCCCTCTCTTCAAGTCCTTCTATAGGTCCATCAGGTAAATGCTTTTGAGAGAAGAGGGTTGTTGTAACGATCAATATACTGCTTTGGTTTCTGAGGAAAATTCAATCTTTGTGAAGTTTAAGGGCATATTCCTAGTCAAGAATGTTTTTTCCTTCATAATAACCCAGAACTCTTGTTTTTGCTTGATTATTTGACACAGAAGTAGACCATAATACTCTGTATGATAGAATTATAGGGCTTGTATTATTTACAGCAATTATTCATGCACATACTGCAGTGGAATACTGCCTGTTAATATTTACATGACTTTATTTATTTACAATCTGTGAGATCTCATATATTCAACAGAGACAACAAAGATTACGTGATCAGTGTTGTAAAGTTGTATCCAATTAGTCATTTAATAATTGCTTGTACTGTCATTTTGACTGGAGAGAGGAAGCCATGGCACAGGACTACTGTCCTTTGGCTAGACATTGATATACATTTGCCACTCTCCACCCAGGTGTTAAATGGGTACCGGTAGGAAGAAATTCCTTGAATGCTGTGATCGAGCACCACAATCAGTAGCCTAATCAGGGTAATATTGGATAGCCTGATCACCTTGCATGGTGGATATGTGTGCTTTAAAAATATCCAATATTATTATTATTACGAATATTGTTATTCCACCATCAGGTACCATCTTGGATCCATTGCGTTTGGATCTCTCATCATCGCTATCATCCAGATCATCAGAGTCTTACTGGAGTACGTAGAGCAGAAACTCAAAGGTGAGTTCCTAATGCACACATTTTAAAGTTTGATTTGATGTTTCTGTATTTC